TACACCCAAAGCACTTTACAATCATGTGGGGGGGTCTCTCCTCAACCACCACCAGTGTGCAGCATCCACTTGGATGATGCGACGGCAGCCACAGGACAACAGTGCCAGTGTGCTCAGCACACACCAGCTACAGGTGGAGAGGAGAGAAAGTCATAGAGCCAATCAAGTGGTTGGTGATTATTAGGAGGCCATGATTGACAAAGGCCAGGGGGGCAATTTGGCCAGGACACCGGGGTTACACCCCTACTCTTTACGAGAAGTGCCATGGGATAACACCTCTTCCAACAGCAACCTAGTTTTCCCAGGAGGTCTCCCATCCAGGTACTGACCAGGCTCAACCCTGCTTAGCTTCAGTGGGCAACCAGTCTTGGGCTGCAGGGTGATATGGCTGTTTGTGTAATGTATGGGGTCAGAACACTGGGGGTTAAATGTTTTGAGTCAGTATCACAGTTGAGGAGAGTGGCTTATCAAAACTGTCACCAGCCCTTCCCCCTCTTTTTTTCCTCAGTAAACCTGAGGTTCAAAGTCTGATGACTCCAAGTTACCATGTGCTATTATGCAATATTGAACACTCTTAAAAATAAAGGTTCCAAAAGGGGGGTTTTGCAGCAATGCCATAATTAACCATTTTGGGTTCCCCAAATAATACCTTTCAGTGAACAGTTTCTTAGTGTGAGGAACGTTTTAATAATCTAAAGAACATTAAAGAATTTAAATAATCTTTTATGCAATGGAAAGGTTCCATGGATGTTAAAAGTTCTTCATGGAACCATAGATGCCAATAAAGAACCTTGTTTTTAAGAGTGAGGTCTTACTTTGGTATAGTTCAGATTAACTCACATTTGTTATTTTTATAGATTTTAGCTTTAACAGCCATAGAAATTCTGATTTGGAAATACTGGTAATCAAACATTTAATTAAAATGTCACTGGAGTTTATCTATGATTCACCTCATGTTGAACAACTAATTTCATGAGCTGAAAATGTGTCTGAACGATGTCAGAGTACAGTAAATCATCACACAAAGCCATTTACAGATTTTGACTTTATTATAAAACAAACATTTCCAACAGATGCTTTTTTTTCTTCATCATAACATTGTGCTGTAGTACATGAGATGGAATGAAAGAATGAAAATACAGAGCATCTTATCAGACTTGTAGTTCTATTTAGCCTTAAGACAAGAAGCTTTGTTTTGCTGTTTTTTATGTAGACACCTGCACATGCAGAAATAGATCACTTCACCTTCCATTCACTAGTGTTTATTCCTCCTGTCTACTTGTATCTCTCGTCTTTGCAGTAAGAGCGGGTTTCTCTCCAACCCAACACAGCAGGACAAACGTGAGCAGGGCTTGATGTTCAAACACCTGCCGACTGCTGAGGAGTCAAATCTGCAACTCTGGAGCTGAGCTGAGCTGAGCTTCTGAGTGGTGTGTGTGTGTGTGTGTGTACTTAAAAAAAATGTGTTAAAGTTTCCACAAAAATATTAAGCAGCACAAATGTTTTCAACACTGATAATAATATGAAATGTTTCTTGAGCACCAAATCAGCATATTAGAATGATTTATGAAGGATCATGTGGTACTGAAGACTGGAGTAATGATGCTGACAATTCAGCTTTTCCATCACATGAATAAATTACATTTTAAAACAATATTTAAAACAGAAAACAGTTATTTAAAATACAAAAAAATATTTCACAATGCTACTGTTTTACCGGTATTTTTGATCAAATAAATGCAGCTTTAGTTATAATAAGAGACTTATGCTTTCAAAAAAATCTTAACTTCTGAACATCAGTGATAACATAAAATGTAAAACATAAAATGCAATGATAGCAAAAACCTCAAAAATGATTTACTTCAGTTATTTTACAAAATGTTCAAAATTCCCTAAAAACACAAAATGTAGATTAATTTTAATGTCTCTTTATTCATTGGCAAGACTGTCCGTGGATTTTGGAAGTGTTACATGACAAAAATAACAGCCAAGCAGACAATTTTGCAGATAATCTCAAAATGGCCAAATAACAACCAATTAATCTGTCAGTTATTATAATATTTAGTTTTTTTTTTTGTGGGTTCAAAAATACCGGTGATTTCTTCAGCATCAATAGGTCCCTTTCATTTGCAGTCCCACATACCTTTTACACAAGCACATTGCTTCATCATCAGAGTGGAGCTATCCTTAGTGACTGAGCTCTCTCTCTCTCGGTCTGTCTGTCTGTGTGTGTGTGTGTGTGTGTGTGTGTGTGTGTGTGTGTGAATATGGAACGTGGTTCAACACATCTCTGGCTTTAACTAACCTGTACACTTTCATGCATGCTTTGATCCAGTAGGCAACGGTTCAAAAGGGAACGACAAGCAGCATTGTGTGGCAGTCAGAGAGAGAGAAACACACCAAATGGTTTCCTGCGTTTAACTGTGACAGTGTCAGCAACAGGGAAGAGAGAAAACAGACCTTGGTTCACTTTCCCTTTTTTCCCCTTTCCTTTCGTTTTTTTCTTTTTGTGCTTCTCGGAAAACCTCTGTAAATAATGTTTGTGACACAAAACATTTGATGTTTCTGAAAAGGAAATATCCTATTTGCGGCATGCATGGAAATATTACAGCGCTTTCATCAGTTTTCAGCCTGGACTTTTGTTGCCACGATTTTCAGTGTAAGTGCTTTTCTTTCTTTCTCTTCACCTGCACACTCAACAGTTTCTGCATTCTTCATGGAGAAATTAGAGAATTCCTATTCATTTTTATTAAATTTCTTTGTTTTACATTTATGTCTTCCATGGATTAGGACAAAGCATTAACAAATGTCAAGCATCGAATGTTTTTCTTCTCTGCCAACCACAGTAGGTCTTAGCATTCTGGATTGAAAATGCCTGCCGTCTGGCAACACTGCCTGTGTAGAACTTGGCAGACATCCAGAACAAAAAGAATATTGGAAACCATAACTATTTCTGATATGATGAAACAACAGAGAAATATACTGCAATATTGTTCCAGGAGGAACCACACAGCTTCCCAGTCATTCCAATTAATTGATACAGTAATTCATATAAATGACAGGTCTGTGAAAACTGAAAAGTCAGTATGAGTGAAACGTAGAGGTTCAAAATGCATGGCATTTTATATTAACTTCCTTTTCTCTGTTGTTGGTGGTGCATTAAACATTAACACTCTTTCATTTTCCCTTCAGTGTTCAACAGAGGTCTGAATCGAGCAGCACATCTTTGGTGGAGACATGAAAAAGAACGTAATTTGAAAACACAGAGGCCTGAGAAGAGAGCCAGTTGATCACCTCACGCTTCACAACTGTGCACAAATAGTCCCAACAAAGAAATAACCACTCCACATCTAATGAAATGTGGGAATTTTATGAGACACTGCAAAAAAAATACTTAAAAAAAAAAGTATTTCTGTCTTGTTTTCCATTAGAAATGCATTACTGTTGAGAAGTTTGGGGTTGTTAAGATTCTTTAATGTTTTTGAAAGAAATCTCTTATGCTCATCAAGTTACAATTATTTCAATCTAAAATACAGTAAAAACAGTAATACGGTGAAATATTTTTACAACTTAAAATATCTGTTTTCTATTTTAACATTTTAAAATATAATTTATTCCTGTGATGGCATAGCTGAATTTCCAGCAGCCATTACTCATGTCACATGATCTTTCAGAAATCATTCTAACAAGCCAATTTATTATCAATGATGAAAATTAGTTGTGCTGGTATTTCTTTTTTTTCAGGAATCTTTGATAAATAGAAAATTAAATAAAGAAAGGCATTTAAAATATAAAGCATCTGTAACATTATACATGTCTTTACTTTCACTTTTATTTAATTTAATGCATCCTACACTCTTAAAAATAAAGGTGCTTCACGATGCCATAGAAGAACCTTTTTGTCTAAATGGTTCCATAAAGAACCTTTAACATATTAAGAACCTTTCTGTTTCACAAAATGTTCTTTGTGGCGAAAGAAGGTTCTTCAGATTTAAAAAAAAGGTAAGAAAGAGATGGTTCTTTAAAGAACCTTTGACTGAATGGTTCTTTGTGGAACCAAAAGTGTAGCGGAACAAAAAGTTTAATTTCAATAAAAAAAAATTTTTAAACTTTGAGCAGTGGTGTGTATAAACAGCCTCAAAAAGAGATTATATCTTACATTATTTTGCTTCTCAGGTAAATTTACGTTTTCTGAGAATATATAATAAATGAAGATTATTTTTCATTCCCCATTGGCAATAATTTTCTTTTTTAAGAATAGCTCTAAGAAAATATGTGTCACGCAGCATGTAGAGGAAAGGTACACGAAGATGAAGGTCATCTACACAAGAACAGAATCCAAGAAGATGATAATCCAAGGCAAAGGGAACACACAGCAAAACAACATCATCAGCTACATTCAATACCGGACAACCTAAGGAACAGAACGGGGAGTACTTATGCTGCGTTCAAGTCCTCCTGTGACGTTCGTACTTACAAGTTGACAAGTCGTAATTACGACGTCAGGTGCGTTCAAATCAGTTTAGTCGGCACAAGATGGCGGTGAACCTACTTTTAATAAATTACAAGAAAATACAACAGGGTCTGTTAACTCTGCTTATAGAAAAAGAAGAGCAAAGAATTCGCATCAGGTGTGTTTTGCGTTTTTTTACTTGGATTTCATTAACTAGCTGTGTAACAAGAACATGACCAATTTAAGTTTATAGGACAACTAAACTATCAATTTAAACAAAAATTTACTGTCAACTACAGACGTTGCATCCATCGATTCCGCCATGTTTCTCATTGACACGCCCCCAACTCGGAAACTCGGGGCTTAAAGAAAATTTTGAGTTTCCCACTCGTAATAACGACTTTGTGGTGCCGTTCATGTGCGTTCAACTCGTAAATACGAACTATCCGACATGACTTGAACACACCATTATACTAACTCAAATAACGGACTAATGACTAGATTAACAGCACACAGGTGAACAGAATGAACTAATCAACACACGAGGGGGAAAACTAGGTCAGGGGAAACATGAGGGAAGAAATAAACTAAAAGTCCATGGTGGTGACAATATGTACCTCAAATATGTTTAAAACAAGAAAAATAAATCAAGATATACTCGCTGAAAACGAGTCTTACTATCTTACACAGTTTCTATTTAGCTTGTTTTCATAATGTTTAGATATTTTTATTGGAAAACTAGACAATTCTTTGCAGCAAAACTGGCACATAAAAAGGAGACCTGCTGAAAGCAAATAACAACCTTTTTCTTAACTTGAGAGCCTGTTTTCAAAAGCACTATTTTTAACCAGTCGTATCTCTTTAAACATCAGAGGTTAGAAGCTACTATTTGTTGCCATCTCTGCTTTCCTCCATCTGACACTGACAGAAGACTGCAGAGAAAAGTGTGTTGAGTGATAACAGAGCCGTTTCAGGCTCACTAACCATTAGCCATAAGGCAGATCCGGGCTGTGTCTGTTTGTCATTGGATATGTCCAGACTCGGCTCTGTTTGGCTGAGCTCTGAAACTATTCTCACCATCACCTTATTTCTCCCAAGCAACCAGAGTCTAAAATTCAGGCCTGGGCTCAGTTCTGTCAGAAAGCATCGAGATTAAAGGCACCACAGCCAGCCGGGCTAGCAGAGGATTAGAGGCGACTTGAAGGGATGGTTTGCAAAGCGCAGATGAGAGGCGGTCAACTACACCTCTGATTCTGCTCAGGGCTGTTTTGACTGCCAGTCAAGGATTTGGGGGCACTGAGAAAAAGCGAGGTGTTGGACAGCTTTGCCGGCAGCTCTACCTGGATTGGAAGGATCGGGCTGTGGCTGACCTTTGGGTTACTTTAACAAGAAAAGCGTCAGCCCTTGCAGTCCTCTCCACTTCATCCCTGTACTCACTGGAGGTCTCGCAGGTTTCCATCAGCAAGTGCTGGAGGAACAGCTTAAGTATATGTGACAAGGAGCAGCATGATACATTCCACAATACAGGATATAACGGAAAAATGTATTAACTGCTGTGATGCACATTTGTGTAACATACTCTGTTGTTTATTGGTTAAAGATCTGTGCTAGTAATTGAAAGGTTGTGTGCTCATATATCAGTGCTGAGCATGTTAGCTAAATAGCTAGTAAAATAGCTAGCTAAGTAAACAACTAATTTACAGAAGAAGAAAAAAAGCCACTGATATCATTTGCAACAGGGATGTCCCTTTTGACCTAAAATGTTTACTTGAAGTGTCCCTGAGCTTTAAGGTAATACTTAAATAATTTAAGAATACATTTGCATGTCCACATGTTGTCCATTTTTGTTTCCCAGCTAACAGAGAACGTCCTCAGAACTTTGGCTAATGTTCTGGCAAGGTTCTCTCATAGTTATGAATAAGCATTCTTCCACACTGTTATCCCTGAAATTGTTTTAACCCAAATTACAGTTTTTCTCGATTGCTTAAACACTATCACCAGGCTTTTGAACTAAAATTTCAAAACCATAACGCCATTTATCAAAAAGCACACCCATCTCCCTAAACTATAAACACTATTCCCCTTTTTGACACATGAATCAGATTTGTTGAACTGTCACTGCAAAACTCTACACACAAATCCCTTCATTTCTCATTGCCTAGACCATGTTGTCATTTAGAAAGCACTAGCATTCAATATTGTTCACTCAAGTCAGCATAGCTTGAGCTCAATTAGCACACAGTTACCCACGTTGAAACACTAAGAGTCTAAATTTATCACACACCAATCAGAACCTTCAATAGATAGATAAAAGAGCCCAAGTCAGTTCATTCCGTTTTGGAACAATGGATCCAGAGAGATGTGATTGAAAAGGTCGAGGACACCAGAGAGGAGGAGGAGGAGGAAGAGGATGAGCAAGAGCAGTAAGGAGTGGAGGAAGAGGTGAAGGAAGAGGAAGAGGAGGAGGATGAGGGGCAAGGAGACAAGGAGTCTCAGATGAAATTCATGCCACTAGTTGACCATGTCCTTGTCCATGGTATGACTATGAGGGAGGCTGGGCAATGAGTTCAGCCAAACTTAAGTTGCTTCACCGTCGCCTCGATCATAAGAACCTCCAGGGAGGAAAACAGGTAGGTGTACCTCAGTGTACTCTACTGTAACTTTTGAGTGCTGTACTCTGTTACAACACATGCATCAAATTGCCTTACATACAGATTTTCTGTCTGCTTCCATTTTGTAAAAAGGATGCTACAGTTATAGTAATCAGTACTTCTATTTTTGTAGGACACAGAGACGATGGAATGGAAGAAGCCTGACTAGACATTTCAGCTGATGCCAGGGGTGGATCAGGCATGCAAGGATTTCCCCCCCGCTGCCTAGCCAGGGCCAGTATAGCCTGTGATGTTGACTAGATTCTCTGGCCTGACCCAGAACAAAGATGTGATGCTGGGGCAGAATATTTTTTGTTGTTGTTTGGTGTATTGTACTGTACAGTACATTAATGAATAAAAAATGTGCAAATGTATACACATGTTCATTATGTGAAAAGTTCCTTTAGGGGTAGAACCACATGGAACATAACTTATTACTGGTTTTGTATTTTGTAGTATTGTTTTGAATTTATCTCACCAGTGTGTAAGACTATAATGTAGTGTGTGTGTTTTTGAGGGCTTGTGTGTGATGTCTGAGGGAAAAGTTTGGTCTTTCAGCAAGAGTGAATGGTTTTGAGTGTAGAGCTTCATTTTGACCTGAAAATAGGATGTTTGGGGAATTGGGTGAGACATTATGGATTTGTGTTTACTGTTTTGAGAATATGAGGCATAGTTTCAAGAAATGTGTTTAAGCAATCGAGAAAAACTGTAATTAAGTACTCTAAACATAATTGGATTTGAACCACTGTTATATGTAGTTCCTAATCTAATAGTTAATCAGTATCTGGTCAGTGATCTTCATTAAACAAAATTTTCCATCATTTTAAAAATGAAAGGCGAAAGAGTTGTCTCTTACGGGTTCATAAGCGCTACGAGACGTGTTTGTCTCCTGAAAGATTAACGGAAGCCCATATTCTTTTACTAATTAAGGTCCTTTGTTTGCTCGATATTTGTGAGTACAAAGACATGTAAAACAAAGTCATGTTCGAGGGTGTTCGTACTCACACAATGCTATGGTCTTAGCTGTGACCGATTTTACTAAATCTTGACGGTTATATGATCCGGCTGTATTACAAATGGAGCGCAACTTTTAACGGACCTTTCAGAAGTTTTTACTTTACTTTTGTGAGTCATGTATTACACAAACAAGCTTATATTGAAAAAATGTCTTTCATAGATACTAGCCCAAATTAGTTACTAAAGAAATGCAGTTTCTCCTCCACATAGTGTTCGCTACTGAATACATTTAATTTAATACCAAGTCTTTTCTACCTTGCTTGATAACTTTACTACTGCAATTTTTAGTAGCAGTTTATGAATAACTTAACAGGTCATGTCTTAACAGGTCACTTAATGATAGTTTGCCTTACCAACTGTTTAAAAAAAAATTAAATAAAAAAGGTAATGTGCATTGTTGTCACTCTGCAGATTCCAAGAAGATCAGTGCTGAGCTAAAAAAACAGGTCATGTCTTAACAGGTCACTTAATGATAGTTTGCCTTACCAACTGTTTAAAAAAAATAAAATAAAAAAGGTAATGTGCATTGTTGTCACTCTGCAGATTCCAAGAAGATCAGTGCTGAGCTAAAAAAAAAATATATATATATATATATAATAATAAGATAAAATAAAACGATGATCTGGAAATGTAAGTACTGTCAATTTGCTTGTGACAAAAGGGGATAGGCCTACTTGTTAATACGTTATAGACATAAAAACATTGTATTTATGTTAAGGCTATGGATTACAGGTAATAATGATGTCAATGTACAGTTGTTTGCTTCATAAAACCTCAATATATCATCAAGAGCCAGGGGTATTAATTTTGTTTTTCCTGTATCTGCTTTTTTTTTTTTTTGGTTTTTGACTCTCAGAGTGATGGAACCCATTTTATGAATCACCAAGGACCATGGATTCAGTCACCTACATATTCAATTGCCTGAGGTGAGTAAATTAACAGCACATTTTCCTTACTTTTTCCTTACTTTTCCTGTAATACAGACAAAAAAATGAATGTGAATGACCAGCGCTCTCTTCCATCCTCAATACCACGACTGAAGTGAGACCCTTGAGCAAAGCACTGAACCCCCAACTGCTCCCTGAATTTAAATAAACTGTGAATTCTAAAAGTAAATCCTTGTTGAATGTATTTTTATCCTTGTTTATTGTGCAGCTGTAACAAAGAATAATAATTTGGCAGAGATAATCCAGTCAAATTAAACCAATTAAATAGCTATATTAAAAATGCAATTTGGTCCACTGAAAGTTAACTTTAGTGCAATTTAATGTTTTGAGTTACCTTAACTGGTACATTTTAGTTATTATAACACTTTCCAATGTAAAGAACTTTCAAAATCAACTTTTTTAGGGCAACGAGTTTCCATAAATGTTCAACTTGTACGTGCTTACAGTACAGTAACATTAATAGAATGTTACCAGAGTTGTGTGGTCTTTAATAATGCTCTCAAAATGTTAGCACAAAAACATACTTTTTACATCGATTATGGAGCATTTTTATTTCTGAAACGTTTTAGTTGGATGTTTATATAACATATTTTTAAATGTTACTACTTGTTTTAGAATGTATAGAGAACATTCAAAGATAACTTTCCAATAATGTTTGCAAAAATGGAATGTTATCTTAACATTCACATCACCCCAATTTTTTTTTTTTTATTGAAAAACTTGATGTTTTGAACATAGAGAACATTCATAAATAACATGTTTATAACTTAATGGGTATGTTAGCAAACGTTCTTAGAACATATTTTTGTTAGCTGGGTTAATGGTCACAAGACATGCGAGTAAACAAATGTTATCTATTCTGACAATTTTTTTTTTATATAATTTATTTCAGCTTTCAAGCATACATTTTTATGATTTAATTATTAGATTTCCATCAACTCACAAACTCCTAGGGGTTTGCCAGAGAACCAAGAAACCTTGGTTTTGAGAAAGGTAGTTACACTACATCTTTCTATTTCAGCTATTCCTAATTTTTTATAAACATTAAATATTAAAAATAATCAGCTGTAATTGGACTAACTCCACTGAACATCAACACCGAATGATTACTACTGAATGATTGTTTACTAAGTATGCCAAGATACATCAGAAACATCAACAATAAAACAAGCAACACAACACATGCGAAATGCTCTGGTACTTTTAACGTTTTTGGGTACTGTTACTATTTTGATAATCTTTTATTTTTTAAAAGGTTATTATTTTACTGATTAGCAAACTGCTGCAATGTTTCTAATTTACAAACCGCTGATTCAGTGTGTTTAGACTGTTTTCAGAATGAATCGCAAACTGATTCTGCTAACCTGCTTGGCCAATTCATTTAAAGGAATTGACTCAAAGATCGATTCATTTGCGGGTGTTGGATGGTAACAACATTTATTTATTTAAACATATACAAATTTTTTAAGTATATTATGTACATTAAATACATTTATAAATAAGCACTATTGTACTACTGTTCAAGTAAAATTTAAAACAAGTACTTTTACAAGTCTAATATTTATATATAATAGGGCATCTGTACTTGAACTCAAGTACATTTGTGTACTTTGTACCACTTTTTACCAATGATGAATCTAAACAGCTGAAAGAAAATACACAATAGAGTCAGACAAGCTAAATTGTTTAAAAACTAGTGATGCTACCACCTTATTACCGAGAAATGTAATTGAACTAAAAGCTTCGCTATTTGTACTTTTACATTTGTTCATTTAGCAGACACTTTCATCCAACAGTGACTGCATGAAATCCATTTCATAGACACCATGAAAAACAAAAATCACCATTGCACCTTTGAGGAAAGCACTTAACCCCTGCCTGCTCCAGTGGGATTGTCATAGTACTAAGCACACTGTACTCTGCAGTGGATAGAAAAATCAGCTAAATGACTAATTAGCTAACTAATTCAAAACTTGCAGTCTTCCAAGCACAACCAGCAGTCCTAACCTGTTATACAGCACAGAAAAAAAATGATGAAGATGAGCAATTGACAAGCAGACAGTAAATATCTGTTAAACAACTCTAGGCAGGATTGAGTTAGAGGCCAAAACAGAGGGCAGGGAGGCATTGCTGACCCAACGCATGCCAGATGGCTGTAGCAGCACAGACTCTCTCGGCAGGGTTCTGGCCAATCCTGTGAGAGTTAGATGTATCATGAAAACTGATCTACGCACAAGCCAAGCCGTAGCGTTCTGTTCGACACCAATCTGCGAAACTTTCTTCACCGGCAGTCAGAGTGATAAAGCACAAGTGCGAAAAAAGTAAGGCGTGTGCATCTGGACCCGCAACAGCTGGCTGGGCCCCAGCCAGAAAACTTTGTGATAACAACACTCGTGCTCTTGTGGTTTTCAGGGCGATGGATCGGCTGCACGCTTAGTTCTTGAAGTGAGCTTGAAGTGTGAAAGTTGATTAGCAGCGAATACAACAGTCACTCGTCTTGCTGACAGAAACAGAGTTTGTCCTCCTTGAGAGGATTTAGGCAAGCTTTTATTTGATCTCAGAGTCAGCCGCGGCTCAATGAGCCATTTGTTTAACAGAGAGATGCACTGCTATGTGTGTCAATGTGTCAGCTCTAAGCACACAAAACTGGCAACTGTTGATCTGGAATTCCCGTTGGTGTCAATCTTACCGAGGATGAAACAAAGCTGGATGAGTGAACTGCCTCTCCGAGTAGGTTTTATTTCGTACTTTGACTTATCAGGCACTGAATGTTTAAAATCTACCTCTGAAAGAGCTGTTGATTTCTACCGATGCCTCGTTTGTAATTTGCCCTGACAAAACACAGTTAAACTAGCCGCAACGACAGGATGCATGGCTATTTAATTAGCAAAGAAGTGCATGAACATCCAAAGAGTGAATGTTGTGTTATATTAAAACCCATTTGAGTCGATCTCGCATCAGTTAAGCGAGGAACTGACAGATTGTTTCTCACGGAGAGCCCACGCTACATGCGAAATGCGTAGTGCTATTAGCAGATAATTGATTTGCTTATTTTGTTTTGTGCCGATAGGCCTCCATTTATTCCACAGCGAAATTGTCGAAGGCAATTGGAGGGCAGATGGCGTGCATACCGATCACCTCCGCACACTCTTAAACTCACAAAGCGAGCGTCCTACCCTAAACCGCTCATATATCAATGCAGATGAAAATGTCCTGCTGGACTAATTATCACAGAATAATTAAAGATATGACCTGCATGGAGAGGGAAGAGAAGGGCTGCGGGAGGAGGGGGGTCTTGTCTGAAGGTGGTCCTGATGATGGAGTAAACAAAGGCTCTGAATGCAGCCCCCAGGAGATGATTATGTATCAAAAGGTCAGAGCTTATACGCTGCGAAGAGGGAGTGGGAAGGGAGAGTGAGCAGGCGGAGACAGAGAGATAGAGATGGGCGAAACACAATTTTGTGGCCCTTTCAGAGTCCTCAAAAGTGCAGCCGCTTGACCATGAGGCCTGCTACGGCCTCGTTAAGAGCTTTCAGTCTTAAGCAAACAATCGTTCGACCCCAGTTTCTCCATCTTCAACTTGAAAAAATACTTTGGCCTCTTTTGGTCCTTTAACTAGGATTATGACTGATTTGTCGACCCCTCTGATAGGTAGCTAAAAGCCGAGGGTATCTTGAAAAGAGCTTTGGGGGCGGCACTGCCCGAGTTTTTAAGGTATCCAACATTTCTGCCTCCATAAGGGATAAAAACACAGAGCGCCCGCTCACACGCGAACAGCATTCTCATACAATATGGGTGAGCTGATAGCGCAGCTTCGAGCTCAGCCAAGTATGCAGAGCCTTTGGAGTGTGTGCTAACGTCTGTTTAGTCTAGATCACGTTTGCCTCCACAGAATTCTGGGTAGCATTTGGCATACAAGAATCTGTCAGATTATTTCTGACAACTGCTTTAAAGCAAACCAGCATTTGCCAGCACAAGTATCAAGTGGGCAATGCATCTTGTAAAAATACAAAACAGCTGTAAGACGTATTTTGATCAAAGAGTTGCATTTTAACAGGTTTTTTTCGCCAGAGTATAATCTCTTCTCCCCAAAACACTGGTGAAATGGAGCGCTTGATCCAGGTTTCTCACTAAGGGTGTGTGTCACAAACACCCAAAAATAGATTAGTTTTTAAAGTGTCATTAAAGTGAGACAGCGGGTACCTGGCTGTTGTTGATAGCAACCCGAAAGGGGAATGCATCATGATAAACGTCTTAAAGCTGAATAAAGTTCAAATGGATTTGAAATGCTTCCCTGTAACACAATAGTTAAACGCCTCCACTAATGTGGCTGTCTGCACAAGAGAGAGAGAGAGAGAAAGACTGTGCCAAATGAAGTTGTTATTTAGTAAACTAGTGAAATTTCCATGGGTTATTTAGTGTTTTTTCTTTTTTTTTCAAAGCTGAAATTAGCTCGGTGGGTGGGAGAGGTAATCATAAAGAGGAAAACACCTGCACAGATACAGGTGTATGAAAGATATTAGCACAGAGGAAACAGGGGAAAGGCAGAGTAAACTCACTCAAGTCATGACAAATTCATAACAATGTCGCAAATTTTTTATAGAGAGTTTATTTAGGGCTTCAAATTGTCATTGGATACAACATTTGCCATGACTTAATGATAAAGGCGTATTCAGTGTTGAGTAAAATCGTTAAATAAATATAAATTTTTAGTGAAATACAAAAAAACAAATGTGCACCAGTAACAAAGAATGACATTACAATGAATTAATGACAGTAATAAATTAAAGAATAATATAATATAATATAATATACCTTGATATAATCTTGTGATATGTATAATATTACCATTACATCACTAGATTACATAATAATATAAGTAATATATTTTGTTTCTGGGGATGGGGACTTTTCATGAGTATTTATAATAAGCCTCTAGTTATTTTCACAAGTTATGTGGCTAATGTGACTAAAACAGGGTAGCAGCCAAATTGCATTTTGCCTCTATGTATTCCCGGACTTTTTTTTTAAAAAAGCAGAGAATAAAAGAAGCAAGCTATGCATTTACAATTTCTTAACAGTTCTGTAAAACAATTAAATTGTAACCCACACAAACATTATTTATAAATAAAAAAGTTTTTTTTTTTTAGCAGAGACTATATCTAAACTTGTCAGTCCTTCAGTTTTATCTTAAGTTTATAAAAACAAGGCATTCAAAATTTATTTCAGGTTAGTCTTCAATGCATTCAGTTATAATACAGTTGTTTGGTTGAATATTATACAAACAACATATCCCTAAGAAAAGAGCTGAGAGAAAGTTATGACTGCTTTAAAAAAACACTGATCATCTTTATATGCCACAGGCCTCATTGGCTTTCACCAGCACAAGCTAACTCAGACATTTGAGCGCATCATTAAAAAGTAATTAGTGGTTTGGAAAATAACATTATGTGAACGTGTGTCTTTATCTAGTCCTGAGAAATTGTGCTACAATCAGAAGGAAACAGCTGATGCTATGAGCCCAATAGTTATGTTCATGTAATCTATTATGCTGCTTCTACTTAATTGCATTTCGTAATTA